ATTTTTGAGGTTACAAATCTTTTGATGATTGGTAATTTCTTCTTCTTGTCCTTCTTAACTTCTCATCACACCAACTTCTTATTTCGGTTCATTGAAATAGCAGCCAGTTCTCTGTTGTAATGAAAAAATCATTTCTTCAATTTTACAGAGAGAAATTCTATTCAAATTTTGCCCATACTTATGTTAAAATGAGTTCTTATTTTTCAAATGTTAGTTATTAGAAACTTGAGCGAATGACAAATCAAGAAAATAGCTGCTTTAAAAGTTCAACCCATAATTAACCCCTCTCATTATTTGCAATATCCTGAATTGCAGAACTCTTGCTAATTTTTATCCGAAGACACAGCTGCTTTTGTGACGTGGAGATTATGTCATCAGCATATTTATGCTTAACAGCCATAAAATCATCATGAAAACTGAAAAGAAACGTAAAATGAAGGGCATATTGATTCATTCACCGTATCGGTGTATCTCTGTGCGCTCGGCTGATTGTCGCAACCACATTCGGTAAGGTTACCCGTACTACATCCTTTTGTTATGGCGTGCACGATCCCGGCACTTGCTACCGCCGAGATGAATGCCGTTTCTTTATTACCTGAGCATTTTATTCAGTTCATCGCAACACGATGGCATTCCACTTATTTGGTTTGATTAAAATTCAGCAGGATATATTGATAATAAGACACATTTTTATGTTTTCTAAGCTTTCTGCATAGTGCGCAATGATTTTTTTCTTACCTGCTCTGAGCGTTCTTCCAAGTAAATCCTGAAATCCTGATATAGAGTTACTGACATTTTTGTCGATGCGTTCGGAACAGTTCCATCTGAATCAGTATTGAGTCATTCGAGTTAGATTAAAGAATAATGAACAACAATTAATCGTATTGTTCCACATTTCTTGACTGAAAATCAATTATTTTTACATGCTGTTGTTAATCATCAGAATCAACGTTTAGCACTCAGAAGTGTCTTTACGTTGTGGTGAAGTGTTATATCTTTGAAACTGTTCTTTTCAGTTGCGTTCACTTTTTTACTGATCAGTCAAAGTTCACACAACTTCCCAACTGATTCACTAATACCAAGTTATTTGCTTATGTTTGAACCCGAATTCTCCACTGATTTCGCGCACTCCAAAGATGTTCACCTTTCATATTTGAACTGTGTTTGACATTCTACAACTGAATCACGTGCCCCACGTCCTATTGATGGTATTGCGAATGGGTGCTGAAAACTGATGTATAATCGTTCATTATTTCAATCCAGATAGTGAAGCTTCTCCAGGAAATATTAGAGCATTTTCGAAAAAAAATCCGAAGAGCATTAAGTGGACTCCTTAAAATAAAGGAATTAGAACGATAAACATGAGTAGACCTGTCGGCATATGGCTATTTGAGCTGGATTTAACCCAGGCAACCTCTCGCATAGAATTTGATATTGGTGTTTGTCATAATCGGTGACCGCTTGAAACGCTGGTATATACTGCGCTGTTGATGATAATGCTAACGATCTAAATGTCATTCCTCACTGGGATCAGAAAACGAATGAAAAGAAAACAAATAGATAATGAAGAACTCTTTTTGGGGCAATCAAACGTGCATATCAAAATTTTTAATTGAATCCAGTTGCTAATGAGCTAAACAGTTTCGAAAGTTTAGATTAAAGCCGTTTTTTCGTTCATTATGGACTAAGTGGTTCGTTTATTTCCAATAAAACATTAGTATCAGGACACTAACTACTAATCTGTTTTACACTGAACAATATTCTCCAAGGTCTCTGACTTTGTGCTACTGATAACTAATTCCAGTACAGAAGCTTATGTAATAAATTTGTGCATGAAATCCGAACCGGACAAAATTGTTGAATGATGCACTTGT